GGATCAGCGGATTGGGCGTAGGTCAGTTACGCAACGCTGCTGCCCATCGAACATCCATCTCCCGACGCGCCATGCCTCCTCGAGCCGTGATCGAAAAATTATCCTTTCCTACGCCCGATTCCTCCTCCTCGTCCAACATTAGATTTCATCGTGTTCGAGAAAAAAATCTATATCGAGGTGGAGGATTCGCTTTCACAAAGCGACGGGAAATGTAACGAGAAAAATTCGGTGGAAGAGAGAGAGAGAGAGAGAGAAGAAAAAATCGTCGAATATTTTTTCCAGAGAATAAGAGAATAAGAGAAGAACAGAGATCGAAACATCGTATCGTTCATCGGGGGAATTTTTTCGATAGATTTTGGAAGTATTTCGATCGTTCGAAATTAAAACGAGCAACCGCGGTATCGTTGCTTGTCCGCGCGGTCGGTTCTAGTTGTGAATATAACTCGAGGTATTTAGGTGAGCATGCATTTCCGCCGTCGTACGTTCGACGAGGATAGAGAACGGTTCCTCGATAGAGACGAGGAAGGAGACAGTTGCGCGAATACCATTTTCCCCGACCTGCGACCGACAGAGACGGACCGAGAAAATGTGTGCGTTTGTGTGGACGCGCATGCGCTAGCGATGGGACCGATACAAATAAGGTTCGGAAACCTTCGACCAAACGGAACGTCGGGGAATGCATGATTAATCCGTAGCCTTGTTTTGTAACCTCGAAGCTCTTTGGTGCACTTTAAGGAATGAATAATAACTTTAGTCACGCTAGAAACGGCGATTACGAACCGAAGATCCCTAAGTAAAGATAGCATCGAGAAATTAAAACCGGGAGAGAAGTTGGCGCGCGATCGATCGCCTAAGAAGATCGCGGAGAGAGGAGAAGGTGGGGGAGGGGGAGAGGAAAAAAATTCACATCGTACGCGGATATTATCGAGTGGTAATGGGCATGATCGGAATCGCAATCGATACGAGCAAAATTGTGTGCGAGGGCATCATTCCCATCGCTGGCCGATGCTTCGAAGCCTACGGCCTGCTGATAAGGAAGGGGAAGAGAGGCAACGTCGGAGGGCGAGACAGAGAGAAGGACGGGAGGGGGAGAGGTGGGAGAGGAGAAAGAGAGAGAGAGAAAGCGCGCGCGAGGAACGCGGCCCGAGCTAGGGGGAAGGGAGAGGAAGGTACGGTGCGCGAGCGAGAAAGGGCGAATGGAGCTGAAAGATACGAGGGGAACGAGAATAAAGAGGGAAAGAGAAACTTCGTCGTGGTGACTAGCGAGAGTGAGCGGCGAGAGGAAAATGAAAGAGAGAGAGAGAAAGAGAGAAGCGAAGAAAGGAGCGAGAAAGCGAGCGATAGAAGGATCGAGAAAGGAAGGAGAGCGAAGGACGCGGAGGAATTAGAAGGATGGATTTCCCGAAGAGGGACGAAGAGCCACGAAGCGGAATTCTAAGAGGTTAACACGAGTGGGACGAGGATAGCTGTGAAGAGGCGCGCGTTGGGGAACGGGACAGAATTCGGGTCTGGAGGGGTGTGCGGGGGTCAGGATAGAGAGGGATGAAGCGATTTAGCAGAAAAGAGGACGATGGACAATGTTTCAGCGACAACCGAGGAAGACATCGGATGAACTTAGGGGTGACGAACAATCTGCGAAGGGCTGAGGGGCCGCGACATAGGGAATTAAAGAACATGAGAGAGGGAGAGAGAGAGAGAGAGAGAAAGGCTAAACAAGTGGATGCGCGACGAGAGGGGACGTCTGATGTTCGTCTGGTTCGAGGAATAAAAGGGCGGAAAGAACGATGGAATAGTTGAAGTAATTTTTCGATAAGTGGAAGCAATGGGAAAAGAAGGCGCAATTTGTTCGATTAGTTTCTATAATTGGATAACAGCAAGTTGTTCTCAAGAAGTCCATTGCGATCGAACGATTCGAGAAACAACTACGCAAAAGGCTTTGTCTCTTGTCGAAAGAAGCTAAACGGTGTTGCGAGAACTTTGTCGGACGACACTAGCGCCGTTGCTTTGAAAATTTGTTCACGTGCTGGCATTGGTTTCGATGTGGGAAAAAAGAAACGATCGAGAAATTGACGAAAGTTTCGAAAAGTTTCAACGAACGTCGTTTTGCCGCTTCGATAATATCTAATGCTGCTCCCGGTGTTTAATGTCGGTCGCAGAGAACAGATGTTTCGGCGGTCGGGAAACCTAGAGGAAATGGGGAAGGGGGACGAATGTAGGAAAAAGAGCGGCGGTAAAGTGGACAAGAAATCCCGAGAGTGAAACGTGCACTTCGCTGGTAAATAGTACGCGTAAAAGGAGGAAGGGAGAAAGGCTCGGTGGAGAATGAGAGAGAGAGAGAGAGATGATACATTGGCGAAACGGTGTGTAGGAAAATAAGAGTGAAGCGGATACACGAGGAGAGAGAGGGAGAGAGAGAGAATGGCTTGGTCGAGTGGATGGAAACGCGTGGATACGTGTATGTGCGAGCATCGTCCAAGCCTTGGTGCACCTCCGAACGGAGGAGCCACCTGCAAGGACAATATAATCTACGTAGCGTGATCCGCAAGAACTTGGCCTCGCGATCCTATCGCCGCATAGATCTCTGAATCGATGTAGCACGCGATACGACTCCCGAAGAAAAATTGTCAAAAACTTGCAAGCTGTTCCTTTCCAAACCACCGGAGGTACCGCCTTCTTCCTTACGTTTCGTAATAAACTTTCGAGTTTGAAAAATTTCGTTCGTTCGTTCGTTCGTTCGTATCGCGTTACTCATTTTATTTATTATATCGACATCGCGAACGCGTTACGCGGTTGAGATGAGAAATTTTGGTATTTCGATAGACAGGGAAACAGGAGTTGTGGGAACGTAGGAGAGAAATGGGTCGAGACGGGGATTTGTATCCAGGTAGGAGAGAAGAGGCGACGTTCGATCGTCGAAGAGGGCCCTCTCGACCCAGAGGAGATTCTCGAATCGATAAAGGAGTTTGATGGCACAATGACCGTCATTCACCAGCCGGTCGAGAGTTTAACGAACGACCGCGCGACTTGGTTTCTCCCGGTTGGTCTCTCGCCCTCGGCCGACAGAGCGCGTCGTTGCGTAAACGCAATGTCGGAAAGGAATCGTAATGTGGAAAGGTCAGTGTCTTTCTTTCTCCGGTGACGTCGACAGCACGGCACACGATCGCGCCTCCGAAAATATCCGCCGTGGCGAAAAGCATGGAGAGCGGCGTGCATGCCTCCGTCGGGTCGAGCGAGCCCGCGTCCTCCTTTCCCTCTCCTCCTCTTCCTCCTTCCTTCCCTGAAAACTAGGATCGCGTTTTATCGTCCGAGAGAATTTACGCCGTCGCGGTCACTGCTCGCCGACGAGACGCGCAAAATCACGAGAAATCACGCGAACCTTAGAAACGCTCGTTTCGTTTCGTTTCGTTTCGTTCCGTTTCGTTCCGTTTCGTTTCGTTTCGTTTAGTTTAGTTTAGTTTAGTTTAGTTTCTATCCCTCGGATTCGTTATCTCGTCTCTTTCGATCTTATCACCGCCGCGAATGATGACAACATCGACTCGTGGAACTGGAATACGAATCGTTTCGATCGAATCTATTCAACCCGAGCCTACCTCGACAACGATCATAGGAGGAATTAAAAATTAAGCAGAGAGAGAGAGAGAGAAAGAGAGAGAGAGGGTTGCCTCGTTAACGAGCACCGCATCAAAGCGTGCATCACGCACGCGTTCGACTTTGCTCGAGCGCGAACCAATTATCGGTCGCCAACTAACGAAACCGTTCGTTCGATCGATTATCGGTTACGATCGATGTCGTGGGTGTGCACGATGCGAGGCAGGTGCCACGGGGAGAGAAGGGATCGCGCGATTCGAGAAAACTCGCCTCCTCTCTCTCTCTCTCTCTCTCTCTCTCTCTCTCTCTCTCTCTCTCTCTCTCTCTCCCTCCCTCCCTCTCTCTCTCTCTCCGCGCTTTTTAATGAATCTCGAAGGAACGGGTGAATGGTAATTGATCGATTATCGTAAATTAATCGGTGAGGCGAGGGCGTTCGCGGTTACGAGCGACGGGTAAGACTTTTTTAGATCGAGGCGAGGCGAGGCGACAACGGCGGAGATGGGAAACGGAGAAAACGGTATTCGGCGGTGGCCGCAGAAACGGCGTCGATGTGCGTTCGAGCGCGCGCGCGCGCGCGTGAATTCAATCCTCGTTCCAGAGCGCGCGGAGCGCAAACTTCATTCCAACGGGCATTCTTTTTCGCGGCGAAACGCGAACTACCGCTCTGGCATGCGATACGATTGCTTTTGCAATACCGTTCCCGTAACGCAGGTGCAAGCGACCGACTCGAGTCTAGGTTTTCTGTTTCGCCAACTAAACAGAAATTCGTGCTCGCATTTCCGTCCACCGTTCCGTCCATCCATCCATCCATCCATTCACATCCACTTAATTTCGTCAATTTTCTTTTTTTTATTTTTCTTCATTCCTTCGATCGTTAAAGTCGTTCCCACTCGCCAATTTTTTTACCTTTCTTCCTTCCTACTCCCTCCCACCATCCTTCGAATTTCAACCGCGAGTTAATGACTCTCGCTTGACGAAAATGATAACGATTTCGACTCCTCGGTTGCGTTTCTTCGGGGAGGGGGAGGAGGGGAACGAGCGGAACGGCTCGTGGCGCTGGTTGGCGGCCCTCTCGCCTCAAACGCCGCCCCAATTGCCAGTGTCTGACCCTGTAATTAGGTTTGCGCTGCTGCTAATACTGTTAACCGGTAAACGTGCAATTTCCCCGCCAGTCTCCCCGTTTCCCATCAACCGCCCCCTCACTCCGCTTATATTTCTAAACCGCAAAAAAAACGCACGCGCGACCAGATACACCCCTTCCCCTCCCCCGAAAAAATGGAATGGAATTTTGAGAGAAAGAACGAAAGAAAGGATGTTTCGTAACGTAAGAACGATTTATCCGTCGTCGATGGACGAATTGCACGACGTTATTGACGCGATATCTTTTTTTGACCAATGGTGATTTTTCGCAGTGGCGTCGCCGTGTCCTGCGGGGAATGCAGCAGCAGCGGTACCAGCGACATCACGGAGCCCGGTTCCCCGTGCAGCACGAGCAGCGACGAGGGGGTAGCGGCTATAAGGGGCGCGTCCGCTAGTCCACTGCCGTCCCTACCCAAGCTGGCGCCCTCCTCGCAGATCAGCACCAGGCCCCAGTGGCCCTGGACCCCGCCCCTCGCTGCCACCGCGTGCTCCACCTACAAGAGGCTGAAGGGCGAGCCCGAGGCTGGCGCCCTGCCGAGGTCCGGGGCCGCGGATCCCGGGTTCAGGGGAAGCGGCAAGTCGGCCGGCAAGCCGAACAACGCCGCCGGCCATCATCATCATCATCATCACGAGTCCCAGGGCAAGATCACCGAGTACTTCAAAACGCAGATCAAACCCCAGCAACCCAAGGTGACTACCTTTCCAACCTTTTTTTCCATCGAATTTATTTTCCCCCTTCGATTTTTTTCCACTAACGATCGATGCTATTTTTTTTTTTTTTTGCTTCTCGATCGAAAGATCAAGAAGAACAGCGAGGCGATGTCGGTGCTGGTCGCCAAGAGTTCGTCGGAATTTCGAAGGCCAGCTGCCACGGTGCAGAGGAACAAGGCCGGTTTGGCCAAGTACCTGGGCGCCGTGTCGCCGAACGGACGGACCGCGTCGGGCAACGATTGGGAAGTGAGAAACCTGGCCATGTCCCCGCCGCCCACCAAGAAGCCACCGTTGGTCGTTGTGCCCAGGGCCAACGGTAAGATGGAGAAGAAGCTGCCCAAGCCGATGCCCAGCCTGCCCATCTCGAACGAAGTGCTGAAGAACATCCCCGGCTGCAAGATCTCGTCGCTCAGGTAAGGTCGGATCTTGGCTCTAAGTGGATGGAATCCCTCTTTATCCCTCCTCGTTCTCGGATTCTCAGGTTGACCTCGGAGGCGAGCTCGAACGCGAAGAACGGCGTGTCGTCGCCACCCTCGACGCCCACCCCCGCCCTCGGCAACGTGGAGGCGGCCGGCCTCGACTTCAAGGGTTGCATCCTCTCGAAGCCGCACGTGAACGAGAACAACAATCTGACGAACAGCTGCGGGAACATCTTGGGCTCGTTGAGGGCGCAGGGTGGGCAGGACCCGTTGAAGAGATTGTCCGTGGCCGAGGACGGGAAGGAGGGTAAGGAGAGGCAGGTGAGGCCCGCCGACGAGGACGACGTCGAGGAGGAGGAGGAGGACTCGAGGAGCAGCGAATCGAAACCACCCCTATCGCCGATACTCTCCGCCCCGACCACCATACGATTCCCTGCACGGGAACCGGAGAAGGACAGGCAACAGGCAACGGACAGCGGCGTGTGCCGATGGGACAAGTGCGAGGAGAGCTTCGAGTCGAGCGGCGAACTTCTCGAACATTTGCAGGTAATTCGTGTTATTCGTGAAAGTTGAGCGTTACCTACGTTTTCGATTCGATTCGATTCGATTCCGCGGGTAACTCGATCGTACGATGGAATAATAACGCGAACCACCTGTATCGCGTTTCCCGTTTGTGTATCGTTGTTGTTACTCCGTGTTTTCGGGACACAAAAGGATTCGGATCTTTCTTTTTTATTTTTCCCTCTCTCTTGTCGCGAAATCGATATATCGCAACACTTTCGTGGCTATCGAATATCCGGTGGATATATAGGATTTCAACGTGGTCAACGTACGATATCGTATTGGCCATTGAAATATGAAAGGAAAAGAGAAAAAGAGAAAAAAAAAATTCATTTGTTTGACAAGTGATTTTGCCGCGTTCCTCAGGTAGCTCACATCAACACCCAGACAGGGAGCGACAATTTCGTGTGCCAATGGCAGGGTTGCAAGGTGCAAGGGAGGAGTTCCTGTTCGAGGAGATGGTTGGAACGGCACGTGTTGTCTCACGGAGGAAACAAGCCCTTCCGGTGCATAGTCGACGGCTGCGGCAGCAGATTCAGCTCTCAGGTAATGCCTCTCGATTCGATGCCAAAATTATAAGTTGATTGTCTTTTGCATTCCAATCCTCCATCCCCGCAACTCGATTCCTCTTCGATCATCTTTTCGAGCGTGAATCGACAGTGGATTGAAAACTTTTTCTTCGTTCGATCCAATCTCCTTTGTTCTCTTCTTCACAACGAAAGAACGCAACGAAAGAATCCGTGGACCGCCATCGCTGCAAGCTTTTCGTTCGTCCGAAGATCGTTCGTAAGAAAATCGGTGAGATTTTGAAGAAAGAATTGGGACTCGCCACAAACCCGATACTTTTTTCCGTTTCAGAGTTCAACGTTTCTCGGTTATGTTTGTCTCTTATTGCCGATTTGTCCTAACTTTGTCCTTTCCTCTCGAGAGACTGAGACCCGTCTTTGTATTCGTGCCAATAATCGTTTCGCGCGAGGAATAAACTGTCCATGTGTGCAAACTATAACGAAACATGTTTTTTCTACTATGTTTATGTCGAGCACGAGCGTCAACTTACGTACTTCAACGAGCCTCCTCGCGAATTGAAGTATTCCAGATGCAGAGATGATTCTTTCCTTCTTTCTTTCTTTTTCTTTTTTTGTTGTTGTGAAACTCGATGCCACCGGATGGTTAGGTAATGTATCGTTGCGCGCGAACGAGGGACTATGCGTTCGTTAAGTTTCTCGTTATATTCGAAATTTGTTGTTTCGAACCGCGGCGAACTGTACTCCCTGGTTTTCGATCCCTGGTGTATGAGAGAGAGAGACAGACAGAGAGAGAGACAGAGAGAAAGACAGAGAGAAAGACAAATTGATCCGTGCCGGTTAAGAAGGTTAAAAATTGCAACGCTCTTCTTTACCGACTTCTCGAGGGTGCACGTAAGTATGCGCAATGGAAAAAGCGGAGAAATTTGCCTCGGTCGATTCGTTTTCTCGAGAATGGCGGGCATTTTCCAGGGACGGCCGGGACAAAAAAGAACTGTCCACCCGCAATCGAGAGCTGTGACACGTCGTTTCTCCCGGAAAAGAAGGAACGATCGAGTTCGATCGCGTTTTTTTTACGGTTCTGGTCGCGGCTAGATTCATCCGCACCGTGAGACTCGCGGCCAGAGTGATGGGATCGGAAACCATTTTGGAAATGATCAACGACTCACGACTCGCCACGACGAAACGTGTCTCGTTCGAAGCAAAGTCTTATCGCGCCAGGCCACTTTTTTTTTTCTTTTTCAACAATTTTACCGCTTTCTATCTAAACCATCTATGCCAGTTATTATGATGTACCCGATCGATCGCTCATTCGAGTCTTATGTTTATTTATTTATTTATTTTTTTATTTTTTTTTTTTCGAATTTATTACGAATCCGTGCTCTCCCTGGAACGTGCCCAATTCCGGACGATGATCGAACGAAATATGCTTTGCAGACGGCTCTCGAGAGGCACGTGAACGGACACTTTAATCAACCGGAAACGAGCAACAATAACGCTAGACGGAGCTGCGAGAGCGGAGGGAAATTGGTGAGAAGGAACGGTAAACGGCTTCGATACAGGCGGCAACCGTGGTCAGGTAGATACCGTTTTTTTTCTCTTTGAGATCTTCTTGACAGACTCGTCATTGTTTTCTCTTTTTCAACAGCGAGACTGTTCGATTACTTCGATTCAGGGGTGATGGAGGGTCTTCAGCACAGGTTGCTTCAACTGGCAAAGTCGAGGACGCAAGGTCGTCTCGCTGAGACACCAGGAAATTCGATGGCCCTAACTAGTCAAGTAAGTAAGAGAATTTATCGTTCGTTTATCATCTCTCGATCATCGCGATTGTTATGCAATAATCCATTTCTTCTTCTTCTTCTTTTTCTTCTTGTTCTTCTTCAGGTATTAGCCCGAAGAGTAGAAATGGACGGGAAGACTAAAGTATTGTTACGATGGTACCCTCAAGATATGTGAGTGAACTCGAACGTTCCTTTTATTTTATTCTATTTCATTTTTCTTCCATTTTAAATCTTCCATTGTAAACCATCACAACATTTTTCCATTTCATAGCGAGCCGGACGAATGGGTATTAGAGTCGGAAGTACAAAGCACGAAAAACGTAGGGATACGAAAAGTGGCGGCGTCTCACCCGGAAGAAGTGAGCTTGGCCCTGTTCTCGGCGGTGGGCAGCACGGAGCCGTCTATGCGAGTGAAGCAGCGCCGGAAACCGGCCAAGAACTCGTGATAATGCCGATCGAATATGATCGAGGGAAAAGCGTGACCAAGTAGCGTGACGATCGAATAACCAGAGAACGAACAGAGAGACGAAATCCTGTATCAGGATGATTGCGCTTTCTGGTAACAGGGAAAAAGTAAAAAGAAGCCTAGCAAAATTAACCGGAACCGGAACCGTAATCGGGAAGGGTACACTGGGTAAGACGCCCTCTCCGTTTCGAGAGGTGGAAATGCATGGCCCGAAATAGTACGGATTTGGATTGGATTGGATTGGTAATGCACGAATCGAGAGAATCTATGAGGATCTACGAGAATGGATTCGAGAGAGAAAGAGAGAGAGAAGAGAAACGACGCTCGAGAAGAAGAAAGGAAGGAGGGAGGGATGATATGAACGATGACGAAGATTAACGAACGTAGCTAAGAATATACCCAAAGGAGAAGAAAGAGTAATTACTACATTCTAATTTATTTAGCCTAAATCGAACGAAATCGTTAGGTGATATATTTAGTAGTCGTGGATAGCGATGAAATGATATTCTTGTTGCCTATCGATACCAAATTTTGAAAACGTTGGGGTCGATTCCTGCCACGAGTGCCTGTGATACGAAGCTGCGACACTCGTCGGACTCGGAAGAGCTAGGCTTGGGCCTCAAAAGTGCCTCACCGTGGATACCGTTTTATATACCGTTGACCGTCGTCAACCAAGACCAATCGAGAGGCGGTCGGAGTTGAATTAAAATGAAAGAAAAGAAAAAAAAGAAAAAAAAAAAAGAAAAATACAAAAAAAAAATACAAAAAGAAAAAATAAAAAAAAACAAGAAGAAGAAGAAGAAGAAGAAAAGAAAGGGGAAACAATAATGCAAGAAATAGAGACGAGAATTTTACTTCGATACAACTCGATACGATAATGTGTGATTCGCGTTAAGCGAGCGAAGAAGAGAGTAATAGTAATAATAATAATAATAATAAAAAAAAAAAACAAAAAAAAAAGACAAAGAGAAGTAAGGAAAAAAAAATGCAAACTATTAAATGTTAGTTAACGATTGTAAGGAGATAATCACTCTGGTGGCCTTAAGAATCAATTAATATCTAACAACGGCCCCTTGGCACTTCCGGGCCCTGTTCAATTACCCCCCGAGATGAAAGAGAGAAAAAAAAAAAAAGAGAGAGAGAGAGAGAAAAGGGGTGTGAAGAATGGAGAATGAGCGAAACGTGAACTTGTTTCGGCTCACCCTCGACCCTCGACCAACTTTTAAAAGGAGATGTATCTACCTCGATCTTCAACTCGGTAGAAATTCGTGCAGGCCGTTGTCGTGCGACGTGGAGATAAAGAGAGATGGAGAAAGAGAGAGAGAGAGAGAGAGAGAGAGAGAGAGAAAGGTAGGAAAGACAGGAACTTAGAGGGGGCGTGTATGCATGGGCGGTGTGTTATCGGATAAAGGAATCTTGCGAGAAGACGACAACAGAGGGCAATAGCCAAAGACGAATGTAAATGGTATCACCGAAGAATAGACGAAAAAAAAAGAAGAAAGAAAGAAAGAAAGAAAGAAAGAGAGATCGATACGATTCGCTGTTACTTTCACGAGAATGTATAATAAACAAAGATTGATGCGAAACTTGAAACGGTAAGAGACAGTCGAACGACCGATGTGCCAATGGGATTTCTATCGAGATTTATCCGTTTTCCCCTCTTCGAAAAAAAAAGGGAGAGAAAAGAATATCAAAGTGTACAAAATGAGATAGAAAAATAGAGAAGAAAAAAAAAGGGAAAGAGAGAAAAAAAAAAGAAATAAATAAATAAAAAGAAAAGTCGGAACGAGCTTGCTTTGTTCGTGCCTAAAACTTGTTTCATTTCATCCGTCTACACTTCAACATCGTCAACCTATTTTTATCTTCCCTGCTAAGTTACGTGCAGCGAAAATGTCAATGCTGCAAACTCTGGCCCCTGCGTGGCGAAACGAAATCGAGAAAATAGTTTCTATTATTCTATTTAACCCTCTCGTTCTTATCGACCGATCGCCGAATCGACAAAGGCAAAAAAAAAAAAAAAANAAAAAAAAAAAAAAAAGAAAATCGGAATAAAAGCAGGAATCTCCAATGATTTTTCATTTCAAAAGCAACTGTACATTATATATTATATACATATACATATACATATACATATACATATACATATACATATATATATCCTCTTTATGATTCCCGAATTCAAACTCTCTCAGTTCCAAGTCTCTGTATCGTCTCAACGTTTTTCATCCGATTCCACATAAAACGGAAAAAAGAAGAGAAAATAATAGAACGCGTCGAAAAATTTTGTGACATCTTATCGGAGGAGATAAAGGTTAAAAATGACTCGATCGGTCGGGGATACCTGCGGGTAAAAAAGGAACAGTTTTAAATAAAAGAAAACGGATAAAAAAAAAAAAGAAAAAAAAAGAACCGTCTATTCGACAACGTGAGAGCATCGTGCTGTAACGACCGTAACGAAGAGCTGTTACCACTCTGAATAAGGATGAAACACGATGGCTGTGTTACATTTTCCACAGGAGTTACTAAAGGGTTGGGGGAATAATGCGAAAGCGAATCGTTTAAAAAGAGAAAGGAGAAGAAGGAGGAGGAGGAGGAGGAGGAGGAGAACTTATGGATAATGGATGAGTGTGTCGGATCGCTATTTTCATAGGTGTTAGGTTAGACACGCCGAGATCGTAGAAATATATTTCTCGTATCGCGGAAATTTCTGACATCATGGAATGTGGATGCCGCACGATTGTACACATATATAATTATGTAGAGAGTAAAGTGAATACTTGTAAATTAAGAGAAGTAACAAGTGGGAGGGGTGGATTATTCGACGTGTCGACGACGTGTTGTGTAACTGGTACGAAGAGGAGGGAAGATTATCGAGAAGATAAAAGAGAAGGAAAAAAAAAAAGAGGGCAAAAAACAAAAACGAAGGAGAAAAATTATGGAACGAAGGAAGAGACAACTGGTGGAAAGCGAGGAAGAAAAGAATAAACATACTGGGACATACACATACACGGACAGAAGCACATCTACACACACCAGCTAAGAAACACTGCCAATACGATTGTAATTAAGAACTCTAGGCTAATTGGTCGATTAATTATTCTTACTATTATTATTACGATTAACTGTATAATCCGATAGATCTCTAGTTGCCGCGGATGCATAAGTGGTTTACGATGTGTCCTTTGTTGCTTCGGGCCCGTGCGTGCGTGAGCGAGTGCGTGAGTGAAAAATTATTCGTCACCGGAATAACCGTAATTGTATAAAAAAACTCTCGCTGGTTTCCTTTACGCAAAAAAAAAAAAAAAAAAAAAGAAAAAAAAAGAAAAAAAAAGTATCAGCGCACGTGCCAACGGCAACGGGATATATATTCGCGGACGAGCGTATGTAAATAGTTAGTTGAAATTATCTGTAAATCGCCTGATGATACGGGCCACTGCCTCTTCTTTTAGAAGGATATAAGAAGCTGCCTCGAAAGAGGGCAGCGCACAGCCTATTGTCAGCTTACACGATTCCAAGCGAGAAGGAGATTCACTTTTTTGATCTTTTGAATTCTCGTTTCGGAAGAGAGAGAGACACACACACATATATATATATATACACATAGACACATATACACGTTTGGGTGTTCAGCATTACGAGAAGAGGAACGCCGCGATGAAATGGAATCGAAGAGGGAGATCCGTTCTGGCTCGTTATGGAAAGAAGAAGCGATTCGCAGGAGAGAAAAGGAACGCGTCACTGCCAAATATCGCGCACTGCCACCCGTTCAAATACCATGGACGCTGTACGCTAACTTTCAGAAACCGCCTCTTAATTAATTCGTTTAGTTTCGAGTTTGGTCGAACCGCGAATCACCGTTTTCTCAACCGTCCCGCGCCTAAACTGGTCGCCCTCCGATCGATTCTTTTTCTTTCTTTCTTTTTTTTTTTTTTTTCTCTCTTCTCTCTTAATATTCTTCAGATCCTTTTTTAGATCCGTTTTTTTGCGCGAACGTCGCGCATCACGCGCGCTTACTGCCAGTCTCATCACGTTGGACGCGAAACCAAGGCACTGCCAGCGAAAACATAAAGACGTAGGAAAATCCGTATCACGTATATATATATATGTACATAACAGCTATATGTGTATACAAGTTAAACTCATCGTTAAACGCAGAAATATCGATCGATTTTTTTCGTTTAGCGCGCGGTATATTCTGCCCCCCTCCTTTTCCTCTCTTTTACCGCTCGCCTACTACGGTTCCTTTTTTTTCCCCCTTCGTTTCGCTTTTTTCTCTCTCTCCCCTCTCCCTCCCATGTTGTGGCATCTTTCTGCCAGTGCCATGTAACATATCTCACGCGCGCACTTCGTTTCTCCTCCGACTTTTTTTCGTCCCGTTTCTTTTTTTTCTTCTTTTCTTCTTCTTTTTCTTCTTCCTCCTCCTCCTCTTTCTCTTCCTCTTCGTGTTCATTTTTGTGTTCACGTTCGCGTTTGATTTACTTCGTGGCGTGATCGGTGGATTCGATCGTCGTTCCTTTCGCTCCACTCTCGTCGCGTTTTAACGATCTTCTCGTTGGATGATCGATTAGGTGAGATATATAGGTCGGTAACGAAGAAACTTTTATCACGGGTGGGACCAATTTCTATTTTGCGCGGGAACTCGTGTTAGTACGTACGTTTTTTTTTCTCTCTCATTCTCTCTCATTCTCTCTCTCTCTCTCTCTCTCTCTCTCTCTCTCTCTCTCTCTCTCTCTCTCTCTCTCTCTCTCTCTCTCTGTCTTTCTCTCTCGTAGAATTATTTCAAAAGCATTGATACGATGCGTGTTAACGCAAGGGGGGAGGGGGGACGCGTCGTGTCGTGTTTAGTCGTATTTAGAGAGATATAATCGAATTATCGATTAGGTTTAGAACGTTTTCGCAACGTTGTTTAGATAGAAATTATTAAGTTTACTGGATTACGATATTTAGATATGTAATTGTACGTTTGTTTTTGTGCGAGGGTGGATCGGCGGGAAACGCTTTCGGTTATGTTCGATCACGCTTGATCTCGTGGCAGTGAACCGTGGCGGGAAATTTAGATCGATGTGAAACGAAATGAAAATCTGATCTTATTTCGGACCTGCCCCAACAATTTTTCGACATTTTTAGATTATTATATATACACACACACACACACACACACACACACACACACACATACACATATATATTATAATCATCATAGTTCGCTTCGGAAAAGACTGTCCGCATTTAGTGTATAGGATCTAATTATTGTGTGATTCTATTTCAAGTAAGTGGAAAAAAAAGAAAAAAAAAAAAAGAAAAAAAAGAAAAAAAAAGAAAAAAGGAATCGGAGTAGAGATATTCGATGCTGTGAATAATAAATTACCAGTTCTTTCAATTGATTTATTCTAACATTCGTATTTTTGTTTTTTTTTTCTTCTTTTAATCATTCGTCGATTATTCGTACAGAGGTGACCGTTGTATTTGAAAAATAAAAAAAAAAAACATCAACAGAAAGACAAAGACGGAAAGAGAAAAGGACATCAAATTGTTCAGTTTGAAATATTGATTTTTCGTGAATACATTTTTCTTCCTTTTTCTTTCTCTCCCTCCTTTCTTTTTCTAAGGGGGGGGGAGGGGAATTGTATTTGTTCGCAATACTATTCTTCGTTTCCCACTACTATTTCCTTTTAATACCATTTTTTCCCATTTCTTTTTTTTTATTATACATACATACATATATATATATATTTATATATATCTATATATATATATATGTATCGATCGTGTTTTTTCCCCCGTGCTAGCATTAGTAAAGTATCCGCGTTATTTTACGCATTAAACAATAATAAATGTATATTTTAACGAAACGTTGTAAAGTTTTACATAAGGAATAATTAGGATATTCGTTAGGATTGAAAACGAGAGGGGAGACTCGAGCTGAGGAACAGTTACGAGGCGTGTTTCAACTTGTGTTT